TACCTGTTTCACCATCCCTATTCAGGCCTCATTTTGATTCCAAAAAAGCACTTAGCTTGATATGACTTGTGCTGATCTGACTCGAGTCGATTCTGTGTTTGGATTGATTCAGTGCATCAAAGTTCCCGTAGGAAAGGGAGGCACCCAACTGGTGGATACCCACAGTGGTCACCAAGAAACACCAAATAATACTCCTTCCAACAATCAAGGAAGTGGACAATAGCCCCTTAGATGACCATTCTCTCTACAAGGGAGGGGGGGTCCACCCTCCATGCTTCTTTGGGAGGCGGGAACACAAACACTTTTCAAGACACAAGACCTGCAAATCCCGAAGGACACCCCGCCCTCCCATCTCGCAGCAGGTCCGTTCTCGCGCCGAAGAACGCCTCGCGCCGCCGAACGCCTCGCGCCTATGCTGGCGCCGGCGCCAGACATGCCAATGCCCGAAGAAGTGCCGTCATGGCGAGCCATTTTCAACCTCGGTGGATCGGCGGATCCCTGCAAAACCGGGAGATGGAGAGTTTCGACTCAGGTAGATCACTTCAGGGAGTTGGTGACCCACTGGTCCAAAAAGACCTCGCAATCTGCCATGCATGTGGTCGGACCCGCTGAAAGATCTCCTCGGGAGTCGGACCACTGAACGGGAGTCGCAGGTGGTGACCCGTTAGGGTATGTCCTGGTACCAGCTGAATCAGGCATGATTATGAGTCTGATGTTGGCCATTTTTGGAAGCTACCAGTAGCTCGTGGCATTACTACTAGGAACAAACCGCTACTAGCAACAAAGGGCATCGCTACTAGGAGCATTACCACTTTCACTTCTCAACGATCTGACCAGTTCCAGCGGCCATATGGCTCTTCCCGATGCCTACCCAACAGCTCTACAGCTGGGAGCGCCAACAAACAGGCCTCGGCCATGCGCTTCTGCGAAAACTTCTTCCTCAGCTGCGCGCGCAGAGCTGCGCTGCCACTCAGACCAGCTAGTCAGCCTTGGCCTCTCCTGACCCCTCAGATTTGCTAGCGGAAAATATATAGTGCTCATTCCAAATTATAGTGGAACTAGAGGGCTCTCGCAGGTGGTACAGAAGCAAATGCTAGACTTGTCCATAATCCCATGCTGCTTGGGGCCGGGAGGTACCCGCAGCAAATGTTAGAGGCCAGATATCACTTCAGATCTTGAATTAAAACCCATTGCCACATCATCCTACACTTTTGGCACGGCACATTCACAAAGAGTTCCACTGTTGCTGGAAGTTCCAATTGATCATAGCAGCAATCAATTCAGAAAATAAAGGTGTTACAGTGTGTATATATAGTATATTTACATATAGCCATTATTATTCTAATACATTATAGTATATATATAGTATATTTAAATAGATATAAATCTTACATTATTCTAATATATTACTATACAGTATATTGATGCCTTATAGTTGTAGGCTAAAACTACAAGACCAAGGCTTGGCCGGTGACAACTGGGTCAAACGGTTGGTTTCCAACCCCAGCTCAGGGAGAACAGAAAGTGGTGGCTTCGAGCTCAAACCCTCCGAGGTTCAAACTGACTTTCTTCAGAGTGCATGGTAGTAGCTAATTACGGGATCCCCAAACATGTCTAGATAAACATCAACTGTATGTGGTTTCACTACAAGATTGTCAGGGAAGCCACAAAACACAACCCACCCCGAATAAAGTTCTCCTTTGTGCACCACAGGCCAGCACCCCTTTGAGATACCCCACCCAACGTGCCCATGATTTTCAAGGCCAACTGCCCGCACTATCCGCACTAAAGAGCAAGGTCCGTTCCCAAACAGATGTTACAGTACTTATCCTAGTCGCTTCAAAATTGTTTCAACTATGATATATATATATTGCGTAAATATATATATACATATATTTAAACATGTAGCTAGATGTAGCTTAACCTTCCGGTCAACCAAGTTCGGATTGGACCCATCCCAATGTGACCATCTGGTGCTTTCCGTTCATCACCGAACGAACATGGCGAACATGCCTTCGTTATGGGAGCTCTTCGACATAACGGTCGCAAACGGTCGTGACACAACTACGCATGTTTTCTATTATTTTTTCCCGAAAGCATTGCGAAGGGTTCTTCCGGAAAATCCCTTGAACACTGACACTTCGACACTTACACTTACACACTGAGTACTTCCACCACATTCGCACTACATACACTGACACTTCGACACTGACACTTACACATACACACTGACACTCGGCAAGCACGCAGTGTAAGTATGCAAGTGATGGGTACGCAAGCATGCATTGAGCACGCAAGCATGCAATGAGTAGGCAAGTGTGAGTATGGAAAACTAGCATGGGAGATGTCCTAATGAAAAATCATTTCCCCACTTTATAAATTCTCTCTTAAAGGCGGAGGGCGGGACGAACAGCGTCAACCGAAAGTGCAACCCTCTGCGGAGATCGTGCGTGTCGAGTGCGCGAAATGCAGGCGAGAGTGCGATT